GCACGAGTTTTTGTGCAGCGAGTTGGGTCCTGTGTCGTCACTTCGCACGTCGAGTTGGCACGTCTCCGCGGCAGACCAGCGGTCTCCTCGTTCACACCTCTCGCTGGCTGGTTGCTCTTTGCAATGACTAATTTTGCTCTCCTCTTTTCCTTCTCAGTTGCCAGGGAGGAAAAGGCAAAGTCCCTGCCAGCACCATTTTCTTCGAGCTCAGATGTTGAGACAAAGCACCTCTGTCCCTACCCTGTCCTTTCAGTCCCTTTCCACTGCTCGGGTGTAAGGGACTTTCCCTTGCCACTCCTGTTTTCTGAGAGCGCGGGGGCCGTGTGTTCTACTCAGCTAGATGGTGTGCAATTTTCCTTATTTGCTCTTATTTTTTTTCAGTGAGAGCTTACGCATAGATGAGGTCCAACCCAAACGTGAAGATCTGGGGGTGAGCTTGGACTTCAGGCTCTCGCTAGAGGTTGGAGGTGTTTGGATGTGTGGCTTGGGGCTCAGGGCACTGGGCACCCCATACCTTGCGTGATTTTGATGTCAGGTTGAGGTAGTGGCCAGGCACTTGGAGCCAGGGATCGGGTTGAAATTGGGAATTTTTAGTTGCTTGGTAATTAATTTATGGTTGTGGACAGGTCTGTTTGTTGTTCCTGGTGGCGAGGGTTACCCTCCATGAACCAGGTTGCCTGTGACCATCCATGGTGGCTGCACATCATGTTTTCTGTTCCTAATGCCACCTTTCGGCAGGACCGTGCTTGCCCTTCCAGGAGCTGGGGAAGATCCCGTGGAGCAGGAGGAGGTGCCTGCAAGCTCTGGGACGAGATGGGGCAGTGCTGCAGCCTTTCTGCTCCTTTCTGCTGCCCAGCCTGGGGCAGCTCTTTCCTCTTCACGGTGTCCCCGGGGACGATCCTGACGCGGCTGCATCCGTGGAAATTTCGTCCTTTCGAAGTCATGTGCGCTGACTCATGATCCTGTTTACTCAGAACTAGTCCACGGGGGCATTTTCGGAGTGTAAAGACTTATTCTCAGGCCCTGGATGGCGCCTTTCTCATTTCTTGGAGGTTTTTCACCCCATAAATAAAATCAATATTCTCTAATGATGTGGAAGAGTGCTCGAGCAAGGGGACCAAGTTGCCCAGAGCTGAGCACCTCTGAGCCCTGCTGTAGAAAGCAAATTATTACCTGTGTGTGGAAATGAGCTCACACTTAGCTACGCACTTCGAGGATTTTTCCAAAATCTTTGCACAGTAAATCAGCAAATGGAAGATGTACATTGCCCAAAGCACTGATGGTGAGGCAGCCTGTGCAGCTAGGAGGTTCAGTGTAGCCCCAACTCTCTCCTAGTAAGCTGGAAGGTGGGGAGGGGAGCATGATATTTAGTTTGGATAAATACTATAATGTGATGCGTTGTAGAAAGCCTTTGAAAGGCCTTCCTCCTCTATCGTGGAGTTTGGGAGCGATTTGGAATTGACTGGAAATCCTCAGCCCAGAGAGGGACGGGCAGCTCTCGGTTTCATTCAGAAAGGAAAGGTCAGGAATGCTTCTCTTTTCCTCTCAAGGGGGTTTAAGAAAACTTTCTGTGCAGTCAGAAGCGGTGCCTGAGTATAGGGTATAGGGTAAGGAAGCAGGGTCCTGCGTGGGTCGTGGCTTTTTCGCTGAAGGCTTTGAACAGCATTAAAAATGCAGCGGAGGAGGGTGATTTATATTCCGAGAGCGATCCCGCTGTGCTGCTTGCAAGGTGTATCAGTATGCAAAATACAGCTCCTCATTCCTCTGTGCCCTTTCTGCCTGTAAATAGGTTTTAAGTCCGTATGTGTGTCTGGAGATGGATTATTTGAGTTGGACGGGGGTTGAGTGAGGGTCCTGCCTGCAGGGAAGGGCTGTTTGCCCACGATGAGCCAACTCCAGGGCTGTAATCCCTGCTGGTGCCTTGCAGGGAGCGTATTTGATCACAAGCATTACCTTCAAAAGAAAGTTGGACCATCTGACTTGTTCTTTTTGCAGTGTGATCTTTTTTTCCCCCAAGCTCAGCGCTCGGTTGCTGTGATGCTGTCCAGAAAGCAGCTCCAAGAGAAACCTCTTCCCACCTCAGAAGCTGCAAAGGTCATGCAGGCTTTGTATTTTGAAGCAATGTCGATGGAAAAAAAGCCTAAAATCCGGGGGTTTCCAAGCACTAGTGCTGCTCACGGGCGCTCTGTGCCGCTCATGAGATCATGTTGATCCCAGTGGCCATGGCCCAAGTCTAAACTTAACCTTGATGGTGGGATGAAGATAGTTCCTTTATCTGATTGTGAATGAGGAAATACATTTCTTAAAATAATTAATGGTCCCTGAGGAGTATCTTTTGATTAGCATTTGTGAAAGCCTCCGGTCTATAAATACACAGTAGTTTCCTCCTCAGAGTCGACAGGGAGAACATCCCAGGTCTGCACAAACGTTTCTGTCCCACATTTCTTGTTTGCATCAGTAGGACACGACGGGGCAGGACCGTGCCGGGTCACACCGGGCATCAGGAGCCTGGTGAGACAGGATGGAGAGCCAGAGATTGCATTTTGCTGGAAAGTTGGAAAAGTTTTCCGTTTCATTGCAGTTTCTCTGTGGGGGTGGTTTCCAAACCCAACCAAGCGGTAGTTAAAACAAAAGAGCCCCCACCTAAAAGCGTGCCTCGGACCCAGCGACGTGGAGTGGTGTTAAGTGCTGGGGTTTGCCGTCTCATCATTAGTGTTGTGTGATTGCAGTGGAGCAGGGAGAGGGGAGGTGCGAGCTGGTGTCCGGCTCGGGCAGGGAGCCTCTGCCCGTACTTGTATGCTGCCGCACGCCTGGGAGTGTGTAGGAGTCTGCCACAGCAACATTAACCAAAAGATAATTATTCGCAAAGAAATCATACCCTGGTAACACAGAACCAAGCTTAACTGCTTTCATGCTGCTTGAAACCCTTGTTTGATCTTTGCTTCCCGTGCTGCTGCTGCCGATGGCTCCGGCGCCCTCCCAAACCCTGGGCACCTGCACCCAGCATCCCTGCCTCTGCGTCAGAATCAGGGAGTGTGGCAGACAAAACTATAAATTTTGAGTGTTTTTAGTCCCTGTGCTGTGCTTGAGTATGGAGCAGGGGAGCATCTCCCAACTCTGCTCCTCTCTGGTGCTGCGGGAAGGCTGGAGCCTCTCAAAGAGCCTCCTGCTCCTCATCCTCAGGGATCCTGGCTCAGCTTCCCCGGCTCAGAGGCACACACTGGCCGTGCTGGTTCCTGGGGGGCTGCTGGCCCTGCAAGTTTGGTAGGAGGGGGCTTTTTTCCTTGGGGAATGGGAGCCGTGTTTTGGCAGCTGACACAGACAACCACTGCCTTGCTGCCTGTCCTCAGTCAACCTGGTGTCAGCAGCCATCCCTCCGGAACGGGACCTCTGGGTTTTGCTGCCTACTAATGTATTCGATGCAAGGACCCTCGAAAAGGAGGAGCATAAAACTCCCGTGGAATTTATTACTGACAGTAACAGTACAGCAACTCTTCCTGCCTGCTCCTGGAAAACAACTTGATGTCCCCACACTGGCCCCAGCACAGGGCTGGAGGAGCCTCCTGAGAGGAGCTCTGGGGGTTCGTGTGCTGTAACAGAGGTCTCTGAGCTGTGATCTCAGGATCACAGGGGCAGGTTTCAGCCCCGTGGCGATGGGGGCACGTTGCTGTGTTAGTCGACTGGTCCTCCAGCCACCCTGTCCTCTCTTACATCATGCCCTTCTCTCTGAACCCTGTCTATCTGTAATACAAACACGTGATCTGGGCTCGTAAATGCTGTGTCCTTTTGGTGTTCTGAAATGCTTTGCTTTTCTATTTGATGGTTTCTGTTTGGACATTGAGTTGCCCAGAGGTTTATGACGGAGCTACCAGTAAATTGTATATTCTAAGCCCTCCGATGTCCCATAAGAAGCTGGAGACTGTACCAAGTGCCCTTGGGAAGAGTAAATCTTCAGAAAATGTATTGATTCCCAATCCTGGCTTTGCACTCTGGGTGAACTTTGTCCTCACAAAATAATAGAAGGTGATTTTTCTTTACCAGCCAGCTGGCCTTTAAGTGAGCTACTCTTAACACCATTGTAAGCTCTAATCCAAGTAAACACAGGAAAAGATGATTTAGGAGTTGGGAAGAGGCGCCGTATGAGTTTGTAATAAGGTTTAATAATTAGAAGCATATTCTCAAATACTGTCCTTAAATGTGGCAATTGGGTTTTGACTGCGTGTTACAAGTTCAGTGTTTTATGCTCTTTTGGATCACGCAACTGGTGGTTTTGGTTGTTTGCATTGACTGCAAGGCAACAAAAGAGCGAAACGGGATTAGAGGAGTGGCTTGGGGAAAACACCGATTTCTGTAATCAGATTTGAACTGCAATCTGTCTGCTTTTACATGGGGCTAAGTTTGTCGGAGAGGATGCCAGGAGGTGAGCTCATGGTCAGATGCTGCAGTGCTGCGTGAGCCTGGCTTGCAGTTTGGTTTTTAATATGCACAGCCTTTACCTTTTCCTGCTTCAAACTAAGAAATAGGATCGAGAGGTGTGATGTGGCCCTTAGGATTGCAGAGCAGGGAGCTTGCTCCTTCCTTGCAGGCAACTATTTGCCTTGTTGTTTTCCGAAAGGGCCCTTCATGGATTGGAAAACGGGGAGGAACAGGGATGGGATAGGGGCATCCAGGGGATTTCACAGCCTTAGTGATGCTGGAGTGGCTTTTTCTGCTGGACATCTGCTCCTGGTTGGTCTAGGGGCAAGGGCTTCTGTGAGATCAACCCTGGGGCTTTACCGAGCCCGTCCCTCCAAGTGAGTCCCTTGAACCTGTTCCTCTCTCTCCGTGCGTGCAGGGACTTTTCCACGCTTGGAGGCTGTTCCTGTGCATCCCTCAAGGAGCCAGCAGGGCTGAGCATTTCTCCAGAAAACATGGACTGAAGAAAAAGAGCTTCACCAGACCACAGCTACCAGCACCCCTCACCTGGACCCTGATGGACTCCAAGGGGGGACTGCATTACCATGGTGATGATCTTAACCAAAACTCGGGAAAACAAAGGTGCCGACTCTGTAACATGTAGGACTGAGCCGGTGAGTTTTGTGAGACCTTTATACAAAATTCTTTTGCTGATGAGAGCTTTGCGTTAAGGGTTTTCAGTGCTGCAGGGCTGGATCTTTAGATGGTTTATAGCACTGATTTCCACCAAGCTGCATTAATATCCGAGGAGCAAGTGATTAGTAAAAGGTTGGAGTGCGGTGACTTTTGAATATGTGAATTTCAGTAAGCATGCAATGGAATAAACAGGAGAAAAAAATAAAGCCAACGCCGTGAATAACACGGGTGGGAAGTTGCTTCACCAACAGTGAACAGATGCTCCTCATTAATAGGAGGATGAGCAAGTGGGGAGCGGGATTAAGTGAGAGATGGCAAAGGGTAGTGCTGTGGTGCTTAACAGTCTCACTGGCAGCCGGGAGAGATGCAAATCCGATCACACCGAATGAGCAGGCAACAAAAAAAAACCAAAAACAACCAGCAAATCAAGGACAGCAAAGAGTCTACGTGATGCTGCAAGGGGTGAGTGAGGCCGTGGGGCTGGGTGTAGCGATGGAGGTGGGAAGTGAGCGGTGATGGGTTGCCTGAGCACAGTGTTGGAGGGTGGGGAGCAGGGGCAGGAGAAGGAGGAGGAGGACGTGTGGGATGGTGGGGGGCTATCTGAGGAAGCACAGAGCAAGGATGGTCGTGGATATTCGCTCTTCTGTCCTCCAGGAGAGATGGTTGCAGCCCGAGAAGAAATTAGACCAGCAGGCTGTTCCTCAGAGGGAGCGCTGAGAGTCTCAGATAAGGGCGTGCAGGAACACAGCAGGAAGCATCTGGCAGGATTAGCCATAAATGGGCATTTTGAGCATAAAAGAAATAAAAGTACCTAACTTTGCTGTGGGTGATGAACTGTCCGCCCGGGCTTCCCGGACAGATAGCGGAGTGTGTCGGGGCAAAGGCAGGCTGCCCTGGCAGCACGAGGCGGAGAAGGCGAGCAAGCCAGAGGCAGCATTAAATCCTGCCTTAAAAGGGTGAAATTTGGGAAGGAAGGCTATTGATATATTAGAAAAATATCCTTGCTTTAGCATCAGCTTCTGCTGGGAAGGCAGCACCTCCCGCGGATGCTACTAGGGGTGGCGGCAGGGAGCCCAAACATCCGACACCAGCCGTGCCCCGGGAGGTGTGAGGGGAGAGTGGAGAGGAGATTACTGCAGAGAGATGGATTAGAATTAATTTCTCCTACTGCTGTGGGCAGGGATGGGTACCCAGGCTGTCCACGGGCAGGCAGTGGAGCTGAGAGCTGTAACGTGAAACTTTGCCCTCGGGTGTTTGTCGAGTGCCTCCCGCAGCCCTGGAGCTGGGTTGATAGCGCAGTGATAGTCCTGCTTACCCGTTGAATTGCTGGGTTGTCCAGCCTGTTAAATCAGGGCACATATTAACAAAAAAAGACGGATCCACTAAAGAAAGCGAGAGTTTTTCCGTTGGCTTCATGGGAAAGGCTGAAAAGCAAACACTAAAGGAAATAGGTGTCTGAGCAGCGGGGCAGTGTCACCTACAAGCACCTGATGGGCTCCTTTGGTTCAGTTCCCAATATGGTCTTAGGATGAAATTCATACAAAATGATAATAGTACTCAATATGGGCCACCTAAAGACATTCCTCTCCCTCCTACGTTTGCAGGCAGTAGCTGGTCTCCAGGGCTGGCACACAGGTGGGTGCTGGCACAACCGCTGCCTTCTCTGGGGCTTGTCCCACTTCCATTGCTGCTCCACAGGCAGAGATATCCATAGTTCACCTAGAAAAGTGGCACATGCTCCAAAGAAGGTGGCCAACCCTTATTTACCTTCTCCATATCTTCACCCCATCGTTGTTTTCTGCCTCCACGTCCCTCTATGTTCATCATTTACAATATTCTGTATATGAAGTGGGGTCCTTTTGTGGGATTGCTCCGTACAGGCAGGCACCAGTATTGGGTACATTATTATTATTATTGTTTTCATCATTATGTGAGCAGGAGACGTGTAAAACATGGATCAGGAGAGGAGCTGTGAATGCGATGGCCTAATGCCAGATAAAACGCAGCTGTGGCAGCGCAGATGAACGGGAAGGTCGTGCTGGTGCTTCCCTCAGATGATGGAAAGCCTCGGTCAGATGGGATGGTGTTGCCAGGAAAGATGCTTCAGAAGCAGAATACGGATATTTTGGGCAATAGTAAAAGAACAATTAGTATGAAAGTGTGTTTTTGCAGACATAGTTGAAATGGCATGTAGCTGCAGATGACTTTGATTTATTGTCTATAAAACTGTCCGTGCCCATTTTTAGAAGTCTGATGATGTCTCTTACGCTGTCAAGAGGAAAATTCTTGGAAATAAAAGAGTGTAAAAAAGCATCCAGGATTATTTCGTGCCCATATAGTGACGGTCTTCCCTATTTTTAGTGTAAATCAGCACAATGCCGACGTAGGCTCCCTAGAAGTGCTGGAGTGAGGGTGCCCTTGCCTTAGAAACACACTACGTGCTTAAAAAACGCTAAATAGCTGCTTCGTACCTAGGTGGTCTTGGATGAGGTTCAGATAGTGTTGCTGCTGTTTCTTGCCCAGTCCAGAATTACTGCTGAGTTGCAGCTTCTGGTTTAGTTTCTCTGATGTTCTGGGTCCCAGGGCTGAGGACCTCGCTGCGGCAGTTCCCGCAGGCAGGGATTAGGTGCAGGACCCACGATTGTCAAGCTCGGGCCTCAACACTGACTCTCCACGGCATTTAATTAAATTTGATGTGACTGAGGGAAGATGACCGATTCTGTCCACCCAAGGCTGAGGGCAACGTGATTTCTGACAGCCCGGTTGAGTCTGCGAGAAGTGAATAGTTTTTCTGATTGTTTGCAGCACACTCCAAAGATGAGTCAAGGACCTACCCTCTTCTCTTGTGGCGTGATGGGTAAGTAACACAAACTTCTGTCTGTATTTACTCCATCTCTGCTCCAGCTTTCTTATACTGATGGGTGCAATGATGTCCTCATTGGTTAGATCTCTCAACAAAAACAACTCCCTGAAGGCCCTGGGGTGGACATCCCCCTCCTTGCCCCAAATAGGGGGGATGGAGAAGTACTGACCCCACAATCTGCTAGTGGTGGCCATCATGCCTGTGCCACCCTCCTCCCCAGAGGTGGTTGTCCTGCCCCGTTGCCATTGCCGAGTGAATTGCTTATCTCCTTTCCCCTCCCCTTTGATGTATCTGCTTATTTTTAGAGTTGAGATCATAAGCAATTGGGGTCTGAGGTTGCGTTTGAGTATCCAGCCCGTGGCCGTGATTCCTGACCGTTTGCACAATGCGAGCAATAAATATCAGTATTATCACTAAAATGTTCTCCCACTCAGCACAGAGCGTTTGGCTCAGACAGTGAGGAAAAATGCTTTATTTTTGGCTTTCACAGTAATCATGGTATAGGACGTTTAATACTTCTCGTGTCGGAGCTGACTGTCAGTTTTTGTGCTGAACAGCCACCAGAGTTGATGGGGGATTGGCGCCTTGGCTGATGATCCTGAAAACCTGGTAGTGCTGGAGGACTTGCTGTTAAGTCGCGCTCTTTTGGTTTGGTATGGGGGGAGCCAGTCACCAGGCAAAGTCTCAAAACCCAATTAAAATTGTAGGTCAAGTTTGAGCCAAGCTACTTGCAATGAAAGCCAATACTTCGCAGACAAAGAGGCTGCCCCTTTTCTTCATGGACACAACTCTCATTAGTGTTAATGGGAGTCGAGCACATGCATTGACAGGAGATATTTCCCAAGCTCTCGTGTAACTCCAATTGTTTTGGGGCAAAAAAAAGGGGAAAATGGAAGGCGTTGGGAGTTTTTCAGATGAAAGTCACAAGCTTCAAAGTCAAGAAGGGGTAGAGACAGCCTGTTCCCTTTCTCCCGCCTGTCAAATATGAGCGAGGAACAAAGAAACCCAGTCAGATGGTTTTGTCTTGCGCTGTGGCACTGGCAGGCTCTTCAACAGATAGGAAGAGTCTACGCCTAATTGAAAAGCAGCTTGCCTTTAAGAGCTTTTACAAAGCCTTCTGTGTTTTCGTAGTGTGGTCTTCCTTGGCTGCCAAATTATCCTCTTTCCAAGGGAACCGAATGTCACCTCTTTGACCAAGCTTGCCACGTACTGGTCTTGATCATGCCCAGTCAAGAGGAGACACTTCCTCGCAAGGGCATCAGTTGGCTTGGATTTCATTTATACACTGAGATAAATAAATACGGTGAAGTTTGGGCCAGCAGCTCAGCAAAGACTCATAGTCCCATGTACAGTGTTGAGGGAGTGGAGAGAATTTGGCTGAATTGCCTGGAGTTTGGTCCGGAAGAGGCTGAGGGTTTTAGCCCAAGGTCTTCCCAGTTGGTTTTGGGGGTGAGGGCATCTTGGGGCAGGAAGGCAGCTCGTGGTTGGTCCTGGTGGCTGTGGGACAGCCTCATCCAACCTCATCCAGGCTGCCAGGGGAGAGCATCATCCAAACCCTGGAACATCTCACAGGCTCAGGAGCATTTACCTCCATGAAGAAGAAGTGGGGTCAAAGCCCCAAGAGGTGCGCAATGCGCTGTGACCGAGAAACCCAACTGGCCCGAGATGGCGAGGCTGGTGTCCTGCTATACTTGTGGCATAATGGGGGAAAAAAAGTAAACTGAAGCCCACACACCTTATACGTAGATACCTCTGAGGTACTAAACACCACCAGAATCTGAAAATCCACTGTAGATGGTAATACAGCCCAGTATACAAGTAGGTGTTATTAAGGACTCGGGATGTTGGATGATGCAGTGTTTGATCTCCTTCTCGTGGTGACCTTTTGATTTTTAGATTTATAAGAAACACTCCTGCCAGTGTGGTGATGATATTATGAAAAAGATTGGGTTTTATCTTTGCTGGGAGGAAGATTAAAGGTGAAATGCCCGAAACTATAAATTCAACAATTTCTTTTTTCCCTTCTGCTTGATGGGTCCTTGAAACACCTGCAAGTATAAGAATTGTCTTGTTGTTGAATTGGGGTTTTTTTGTCCTTTTTTCTCCTTTCCTTCCCCTACAGTCTCCATGTGACATATATGAGTGACTGTCCTAGAGAAAGAAGGTGGCGTATTGGAAAGTTGGGCCGTTAGGCAGGGATTTGTTGAGAAGAGCAGAGCACGTTTGGCTGTCGAGGTGGGGAATTTCCCTCCCTCGTGCTGGCCCGAGGAGGTCACAGCCCGCCACTGTGTTTGTTCTCCAGCCATAGGTTTGGGGCTGTTGTTTTCATTCCTCATTGAAGGACACCTCCGCGCATCATATTTAATATTTTTCGTGCAACAAGAAGGCTCTGTGGTGCTGCCATCAGCTAATTACAACCATTAAATTCGTTCCACATTTAGAAATTTTCTCTCAAACGTGAACAGCGGTCAGTGGAAAGCACAGGCTTGCCTCTTTTTCCCCTGAGCGCGAGGACCGGGCGACTGAAATCACAACAATGCAAAGAGAAGGAGCTGGATGTGCACCTGTGTGAAGAGAAGTGTTTGGGTTAGGATCCAAACAGGATTTATCTGCCAAAAAGGAGAAGAAAAATTGATTGAAACCCGTAATTGCTTTACAAGTTGCCGTAATAAATTATGTATTAATGTAAATTATTTCACGGGAGAAGAACGCAGAGGAAACTTGAGCAGAAGGATCATGCATTATGTATAAAAAGGAACTGTAAAAATATTATAGCAGCACAGTTGCGTCGCTGTAGCTAAAGTTGTGTCAGCGTTTTGGTTTTACACCCTTCTCTGTGTTAGGAACATGGTCGTTAAAATTGACTCGGGGTCACCAGAGGAGCACAGCAGCTGATCAAAAAGCCCGTGCTCGTCCCCAAGCTGCAGGTACCTGGCATGTCCGTGAAAACCTGGAGCTCAGCATCTGGAAACCCAGCTTTGATGCTCTAAGGGTGGATCCCGTTCTCCGTGGGGCAAAGCTCTCGGTGATGTTCGGAGGATGTCTTCTTGATTTCTGGGACGTGACTTCAGCCCGCGAGTGCCTCCTGGACCACCGAGCTTGTTCGATGCAGTGGAAAACAGATGGATGTTGTTAAGGGTTTGTGTTCGCTCTTAAAATTCAATCTCTTGGTTTTGCCTGGCAACTGGTCTACCCCAAGGTCTACGGATCTGCTGGTGAACTCTCCTGGAGGCTGGGCAGGAAAGCACACAGACCGGGGGACAAGGTGGCATTTGGGCTCTGATAGCTCTTTCCAGGGCTGAAGCAGAGCTAACTGCCACAGCCTTGCTTTGGGAAGCAGAAATAGTTTGGGTTTGGGTCCCCTTGAGGCTGGGCAGCTTGCAGCTGCAACCTGAATTTCTTGCTGCTCCACACGCAGTTTGCAGGGCTCAAACTCCCGCTGCTGTGGCTGGAGAGGGCAGAATGAGAAATTCTGACCTTTGCAGGCTGCTGATAACAACCCTCCGCATCTTGGGAGCTGGGAGGCTATTCCACAACCAAAGAAATGCCAGAAAATTCACATTGTGTTGCCTCACCTTGGAAATGTGGATTTGTAGATCAGAACACCTCGAAAGAAATTCGCTGGACATCGGGCTTGTTCAGTGACTCGAAGTCTTTATTTTTGGAGTTTCAAGTTAAAAACCAAAAATAAGATGCTGTTTCATCCAAGGACACTAACAACTGCAAAGGTCCAGTTTAACCAGTTTAAGAGCCTCTCGTGCCACACTTACCTCGTGCCCTTGTTGAAAATGCTCTTCTATGGTTTTTCCAATAGGCAAAGGAGAGTTTTTTCCAGCGGAGCAGCTCACTTGCAAACCAAAGGGTTCTCACGGTGGGTTTTATCCTGGAACAAATTACTGCCTCGGGGTAAACCAGGCTGAGGTTTGTAATTTAAGAAAATTAATACACGCTTAACTGCAGCAGTGTTAATGGCTCCGCTGCAATTATCGTTATCAGCGTGCTCAGGGTGTGAATCTTAAAAAATTGCACAAAAAAAGGGACGCTTTTCCTCAATCCGGCTTTCCTGCAGCCCTTAGGCTACCCCATCTTAAATGTGTTTCGGGGCAAACAGCTTTCTATTTGCACTGAAAAACCAATTTTCTGGGTTATCCGGTAATTTGGGACCGATTGGGGGTTTAGGGGGGGCCCCAGGCTGTGCCAGGGTCTCCTCTCTGCCCCTCCAGAAATCCAGCTTCCATGCTGCGAGAGGAAAAGAAAATAACCTCGAGCTGGTGCTGAGGATAACGGTGCAATTGCTGTTTTCTTTGCAAGGTTTGGAAGATTTATAGCTGTTTGTGCCGAAGCAGGGGTGAAAGAGGAAGGTGTCCCGTATCCTCCTCACCCAAGGCCCTTTGTACAGGCGAAGGTTCGTGGCAGCTTGCCATGAAAAATCAGCTTCTATTTCTGTTTCTTTTGTCTGCTGACCTGACCTAAGGAATCTCTCTGCTGGCAGCATAGTACAGAGGGGGAAGATAATAAAGATCTAAACATAGATGTAGTTGTTTAGCGCAGATTTCTTCGCTTTTCTTTGTGTTTATTAAAATGAGGGCAGCAACAGTTAAAATGCCATGTGCTTATTGAGGGCAGAGCCAGGCTGGTTGTGGCTGGGGGTGTTAAAGTGGCAGCTGGATGCAGGGAGAAACGGGAAAACTGGCCAAGAGTGGTGTGAGGGGCCCCAAATCCAACCTCCTGACTTGAAATTGAGCCTTGGTTGGAAGCGTTCTGCACCACTGCATCTTCCCCACTGGGCTGGTACCTACAGCTGCGGGCCGGGTAGGACTTTTTATTCATCCTTCAGTTGCCCGAGAAGGAAAAAAAAACCCCGACCCCTCTAAAAAATGTCACACTGTTTAGATACGATCATACGAAACTTCGCAGCAACGGTTTTGCCTCCGTTCGCAGCAGCCGACAACGAAAACAGTCACTGGAGAAGGTCTGTTGGGTGATCATTTTTTTCCATTGCAGCAGCCGATGGGGTTGTCCTACCCTGGTTTTCCTGTCAAGCGTAGCGGAGAGCCCCGCTCGCCTGCGCTGTGGAGCCAGAGCTTGATGATACTTTGCTTTCTTCTTTTATTGTCAATGAATGAGATCATCACCCTTAATTCTCTCGTCTGACACAGTCCCCAGCGGGATTTCTGGGGTTGCAGTCGTCCTGCGCAGAGCTGCCCTTAGCCAGCTACATTTCAGCCCACGGATTTTGGAGGTGTGGGTTTCTCGGAGCTTTACCCAGACGCCACAAAACCCGTCTGATAAAAGGAACATGTTTATGCACCATCTTTTGTTGCGCTGCACTGGAGGACTGTTAATGCAAGCGAAATTTGCGGGAGGAAGTAATTCCTGCGTAAACAAGCTGAATGAAAGAGAGAGGGAGAAAATCTTATAAAAAGTGCATTAAAAAAAAAAAGTGAACCTGGTAGGCAGTTTGTTCCTTTAAATAAATGCTTCAGTGTTATGTTTGTTACAGAAATGCAAAAAATCGGCTGTGATGGGTACAAGTGGGGTTTTCAAGGCAACCCTGAGGAGATGCTGGGCGCCGGTTGCCACAAAAGAGCGGGAGGGTGTGGGTACCTGCTTTCTGTAGCACTGTCCTGCTCCAGATGGGTGCACCAGGGTCAGGGCACCCAGGTGGCCCCAGATTTGGGGGGTGGAGGGAGATGGACAATGAGCTTCCCACCAGGGACCTAAAAACAGCTTCTTCCAAAGAACTGCTGGAGGTTGATCCTGCATCTGTTACAGCATCAGCCATCCTAGAGCTTGTTATCCCTCGAGGTCCATCTTGCCCCAGCAGTGCTACACCTCTGTGCTCCTCACCTCCAGTTTTTGTGAACCTTTCAGGCAGTTATTGATGGTGGAGCCCAGGACAAACCGCATGCGTCTGAAACGTGATTGAGTACCGAGATAAGGCAATGGCCGTGCCATTTTATACTGCTAGATTTCCTTTTGCTGGGGCAATCTGGATGTTCAAAGGCGCGGTTTTATCTTCTTCTAGCAGTTTTGCTCCTGCTCCAATTATTACTTTGTCTCTCTCTCCACCTACATGACAGCAACCGCTTTGCTGGCAGTTCAGAAAACCGTATTCCAAGAGTTAATTAATTTGTACTGGAAAACGTCCCATATGCTACTCTTTTTGTTTATGGACGTCGAAAGCGAATCGCAGAATTAATTAACGCTAATGCCTGTGCATGTGTGTTTTGTTTTGTTGGGTTTTTTTTCCTCCTTTCTGAACCAGAAAATGACAGATGGAGAGATCTCAGTAGGAAATGTCCACTTCAGCTTGAGCAGCCGAGCACCAACATCTGGGACTGCTTGTCGGACAAGGGCGAGGAGGGCTCGTGCTGGCCGAGGGAGACGGCCAGCACCTGCTCTGTCACCAACCTGATCAAAGACCTCAGCCTCAGCGACCCCCACGGCAACCCCTCGGCGCCCCCCAGCAAGCGCCAGTGCCGCTCACTCTCGTTTTCGGATGAAATGTCGAGCTGCGGCACCTCATGGAGACCCTTGGGCTCAAAGGTTTGGACGCCGGTGGAGAAGCGGCGGTGTTACAGCGGCGGGAGCGTGCAGCGCTACTCCAACGGCTTCGCCACCATGCAGAGGAGCTCGAGCTTCAGC